GTGGACACACGCAGACACACATAGTCACACGCAGGCACACACGCACACACGTGGACACACGCGGTCATACACGGACGCACACGGATACACACGGCTGCACACAGACACACGCGGGCCTACAAACCCAGCGGACTCGCTGTGACGCAGGACGCAGCTGCGTTGGCACCACGCATTACGAAATCGCCTCGGGCTGCCAGGGACCAAACAAACCCACTTATTAATATTGCTATTGTCGTTGTTGTAATTCATCCATCTTCGTCACTCCATTTGCTGGGATAAAAAGTATCTGATACGTATGTAACGTTGAACTTCTTTCGCGCTGTACGTAGACGAACGTTGCTTAGCGGAGGTGCTCGGGGGGGTGGGGGGGGGGGGAAGGACAACAAACTAAACACAACAAGAAGTTCTAAAGAAATCAGTTTTCAATGTAGTATAGTAGTATAGTGGTAACTAGGTTTGTTTTATCTTGCATTTGTCTTTCATTTGTACCTGATGATGATTGTGTTGCAATCGAAACGTCGTGTGCTATTATTTATTTTTTTATTTTCTCTTTCTACGTGACTTTACCGAAAGAACGAAAGAGTTATTAATGCAGTCACGAAAGCACCAATTCAAGTTTTTTTTTATAGTGGTGTAGTGTATAGTGTAGTGTATAGTAGTGTATAGTGTAGTGTATTGTGTAGTGTATAGTAGTGTAGCGTATAGTGTAATGTATAGTGTACTGGAAAGTAGTGTTGTAGTTAGTGTATGTACGTGTAAGTATGTTGAACTATTTTTACACCGTGCATAGCCAAACGTGCGTATCGGATATGCGGGGGGAATGACAACAAACTAAACACAATAAAAAGCAGTTCTAAAGATATTAGATTTGTCAATCTAGATGATGATTTCAAAGTGCAGCACAGCTCCCAGTGTCTTCCTAATATCGGTAAGGAAGGAGCGTTCCAGACGGCCGCAGAAGTGCATCTGAAAGCGCCGTGCGACAACGATGATGTGGTGACCAGCTTGGGTTAGGCAGTTGTATCGATTGGACATTTTTTGCCAGTATCAAAATGATGAATAAAAATAAGATAATACGATTCACTCCTTTTCTGGCAATTAAACAGGAGAGGTGTTAAGATGTTCAAACATTAAATAGATACACCTATCGCAAGGCATCGAGTCTGCATTAAGCACACGTAATTGTGGCAAACCATGCGAACAAACATACTCGGATAATACATGCCTTGTTTTTTAAACTCACCCGCCTTTGCCAGAGACAGCAGCCTTCTTCGTGGACTTGTCCCACCAGTGTATGCCATGGTGGCGAGATATTAACTCCCTCGCCTGGGATGCAAAGAGTCGTAGTTTCAAACCCGACCGTGGCGCTTGCTGCTGTACATTTGCAGTTTGCGGTGTCTCTCTCTCCCCCATGGTTGCGTGGATTCTTCTCCGGGGCCTCTGGTTTTGCCCTCCACATTTAGAATCAACATCACGCGTTTAGAGTATTTGGCTGCCATAGATTGCCACACGATGATGATTAACCCACTTCGGTGAGATATGATTTGCGGATGCCAGGTCGCGTCTGAAAAATAGCTACGTAGCTCAGTTGGGGGTCTTACACCTGGTAACATAAAAATAGTACAAGCTCGAGGTAGGGCTTTAAAAAAACGGAAAGCCACTGACGCAGCCACCACCCACCCACTCACCCGCTCACCAACCACCCACCAACCCGCTAACCAACCACCCACCCACCCACCCACTCACCCGCCCATCAACCACCCACCCACAAACTCCCACCCATCACCAACGACCAACTACCACCACCCACCAACTTTCCACCCACCCACCAACCATCTACCACCCACCACCTACCCACCACCAACCCACCACCCACTCACTCACTCACCAACTAAAAACCCACCCACCCACCCACCACCAACCAACCATCACCTACCCACACACCCACCCACCATCCACCCATTCATTTAGGGTATTTGGCTGATATAAAATTTCCACACGGTGATGATGGCGATAAGTCCACTTGGTTGAGCTATCATTTGTGATGGCCACGTGGCTTCTGAAAAAGACCTACAGAGTAGTTCAGTGGGGTCTCACTGAACAGTGTGAGGGCGACGCGGGTAAGAGAGTATTAATATGAATAGTATTAGAAGTAGTAGTAATAGTATTAGTAGTAATAGTATTAGGAGTAGTACTCGTATTATTAGTAGTAATAATATTAGTAGTAATAATATTAGTAGTATTAATAGTAGTAATAGTGTTAGTCGTAATAGTATTAGTAGTAATAGTATCAGACGTAATAGCATTAGTAGTAATAGTATTAGTAGTAGTAATCGTATTATTAGTAGTAATAGTATTAGTAGTAATAGTGATTTAAAGCTTTCGTGACTGCAGTGATTCATATTCCTGGTTCTTTCGGTAAAGTAACGTTGAAGGGAAACAATAAAATAATATATATTTATTATAAATTTCATTATTTTATTGTTTCCCTTCAACGTGACTTTACCGAAAGAACCAACAATATATATAGCAGTAATAGTATTAGATGCAATAGTATTAGTAGCAATAGTATCAGAAGTAATAGCATTAGTAGTAGTGTTAGTAGTAATAGTATTAGTAATAGTGTAGCGACATCGATGCATGTCGCTGTGTGTGGCCAGCCTAGGAAAGGCACGACATACAACGTACTGCTACCACAGACACCGCTCATTGGGGATGCAGTACCAGCCCTAGCGGGGGCCGGGCAGCACTGAACAACAATCAGGTAATGGCACCGCGCTCGACGCGCAGTGCCAGCCCCTACAGGATAGGGGGCGAGAGTGCCAGCCTCGGAACGGGGTTGCGGGGGGGGCCATGCCACTCTGGTTGAACCCTGAGGACACGTGACCGGTGGTGTCTACCCGGGGACCCCCAAAGGGGGGGGGCTGGGGGGGGACCACGTGTCCGGTGGAGAACCTCCTCGAGAGTTCGAGAAGGGGGTCGTGGCTAGGGGCGGAGCGAGCCCCGCCACACAGGATAAAAAGCCGTGTCCCCAGTGGGACAGGCGGCTGTTGTCTTCATGAAGAAACCTACGTTCTATGCCGGAAGAGGATCTACCACTCCAGGACCCGGAACCGAGTTGTGGTCCAGACCGTGATAGCTTACTCTGAGTGTTCGAGTCGCTAGCCTGGTGGTCTACCACCCTAGGTTATCTGGTAAAGGGGCAGTTAACCCCTTTGAGTTATAGTGTTGAATTAATAAATGTGTTGCCTCCAACGTTAAGCCTGAGTCTCCGTCTGTACCCACTAGAATAGTATCAGTAGTAATAGCTCGCATTGAGCAGCGTGATCAGCGCGGATGGAGCTTCGGGTTTCTCTTGCAGCTCCTCCGTCAGTCGCGATATGAAAGGAGCCATTTGCAGGACTGCGCCTTTTAAAATCTATCTGTCTGGTCTTGATGCGAAGCTTTCATAACTGCAGGAATCCATACTCTCTGGTTCTTTTGGTAAAGTGACGTTAATAGAAAACATAATAAAAGAAACACGACGTCCCGGTCACAACACAAGCGTCCGTCATTATCACCTGCGCTTACTCTGAGTGATGATGGACGCTTGTGTTGCGACCGAAATGTCGTGTTTCTTTTATTATTTTTTCTATCTACGTGACTTTACTGAAAGAACCAGAGAGTATATATCTGTCTTTCTGAAATCTATCTATCTATCTGATATGTATCTAGCTCTCTCTCTCTCTATCTGATATCTATATATCTGTGTATTTGATATCCATCTGTCTATCTCATATCTATCTTTCTGTCTTTTTGATATCTATCCGCAATATATATCTCTGTCTATCCACTATTTATCTATCTATCTGTCTATCGGCTATCTATTGATCTGTCTATCTGCTATCTATATATCTGTCTATCCGCTATCTATCGATCTACCTATTGGCTATCTATCGATATGTCTATTTGCTATCTATCGATCTGTCTATCCACTATCTATCTGTCTATCTGATATCTATCGATCTGTTAATTTGCTATCTATCTGTCTATCTATCCGCTATCTATCGATCTGTCTATCTGCTATCGATCGATTTGTCTATCTGCTATCTGTTCATCCGCTATCTATCTGTCTATCCGATATCTGTCTATCTGTCTACCCGATGCACCTACTACCGGCTCACTCGGTCGCAACTCTTCCAGCCCACCCATTGCCGAACGCTCCGTTCCGTGCGTGTCAATGAAACAAAAAAAACGAAGAGCTTCACAGCTCACCGGATTCCTACATGCGACTCCAAATCCAAAGGAGTCGTCATCCTGGTGCGGTCTCAACCAATCAAAATGAAAGCCGCGACTCCCCCGTGTCCCCCCCCCAGTGTCTGCCCCCCACTGCACCCCCTGCCCCCTCCACCCTCCATCCCCTGCCCCCAAACCCCCCTCACCCCCCACCCCCACCTGCCCGCCCCCCCACACCCCCCTGCCTGCCCGAGTTCCACTCTCCGTGTCCCCCCCGGTGTCTGCGCCCCCCCCCCCACCAAACCCCCCCCTTCTCCCCCACACCCCCCACCCCCGCCCGTCGCCGGCAACATCTTGCCTGAGCCGATCCGTGAGCCCTCCCCTAGGTCGGCTCGGCCTCAAATGAGAATCCCTGGTGTGGTGCGCGTGACCATCGTCGCCGCTGGGGAGACCAAGGTGGCGCGCGGCGCCTTGCCGGCCTTCGTAGGCCCTGCTCGCTAACCTCACTTTGCCCTGGCAGTCTGTTGCAGGCTACACGGGGGATCTTTGTCCGTGTGTCGTGCGTCTCACGTGGGGAGCGGTCAGCGACCCCGCGCTGCGAACCCGGCGACCCCCTCCCACCCCCCATGCCCGCGGCCACCAACGCAGCTGATCGCGATCAGCAGAACCGCGAGTATCCTTAGGGGGGGGGGGGGATACAAATGTGGCCGGGCGCCGTGAGGGCAGGCCACACCAGAACCCCCACCCACCCCGCCATTGTGCGTGCCGGGAGTGAAACGCCTTACCGGAAGGCGTCGATCTCTGTGCGGTTCTCGAGCCAGGGACAATCGCGAACCTTCAGGATCTTCTCCACCACCGATTGCTCGTTGAACCTAAGGCAGGAGACAGAGCGGGGTCACCACCACCACCACCACCACCCCCCTCCCCGCGTCCATGGAGACTGTTGTTGACCTGTTGACATGTTGACCTGTTGGCATGTTGACATGTTGACCTGTTGACCCGTTGACACGTTGACATGTTGACCTGTTGGTCTGTTGACATGTTGACCTGTTGACATGTTGACCTCTTGAACCCTTGACATGTTGACTTGTTGACCAGCGGCGGCCCCGCGACATTGCCACTGCAGGTGGGGCTGGTTTATGAGTGACCTCCAAAGAGACGGTGTCCCAACGAAGGACAAAACAGAGCCCCGTCGCGTTATCGGCATTGCCGTGAAAGTTAAAACTATCACTGTCTCGCCTGCCAACGGTGGGACGCTCGTACGGAACGGCACAACGAAGCAATGCTGTTCCCATGACCCCTCACATCCACACACCACACAAACCCCTTTGACTCTGCCAAAACGCCCAAAGAGCAATTCGAGATCAGCTCACACAACTCGGCAAATTTTAGCCGAGGTCAAGTGGAACAGAAAAGTACATTATGCTGTGCATATACCAGAGCCAGGTCTTTCTGGCGTACCAGCTCTGGCTAAACATCCTCACGGCATGCTCTTTCCCTGGTCGCCTGAGAGCTGGTTATGTCGATTTTTCGTTTGACCGGGAACCCAGCCGTTTGACACTTAACTTCTCCTGCATAGTCATCCTATTCGAATGGAATGTTTCGCAGTGACTCCCACAGCGTTCCTTCCTCATTCTTGGTTCGCTGCACCAACTGCCATCTCCATTGCTGTTGTTTGCTCCTTATGCTGTGGTGAGCTGCTGCATTTGCACGGAGCAAACCTAGCATTGTCGCGTCGTTTCATTACGGCCACGGGCGCCTTATTCGCCGCCTTGAATGAGTCGACCCATCGCCGCGCGCAAATTTCCGGTCGCGCGACCCGCCCCGGCAGCGGCGTTGGCGGCCGCCTTGTGGCTGGCGAGCCGCTGAACAAAGTGGGCCACTCCCCGGTCGCTCAGCGAAAGTCGGTCACCTTGCCGTGACCCTTCAAGTGCCGCTGCCCCGGGTGAGCGTGGCCGAGCGGCGCTGCCACCCGTCGCTCACCCGGTGAGCGATCCGAGCGGCGCTGCCACCCGTCGCTCACCCGGTGAGCATGGCTGAGCGCTTAACGTCCCACCGCACTGACACCGGCGTGGAACCCGCGGCCCCCACGGGGATCACGGAGCACCCAGCCTGCCAAAGTTGGCCTAAAGCTCAATTGACTACCACAACTCAAACCCACCCCACCCACCCACCCCGTCCGGGTGTTGTGAACCGATTTGTTCTCACGTCTTTGGCGGAGGGTCATTGGCGATGCTCGTCAAAGTTTGCCGGCACTGCGGGCTCAGTTTGACTTTCACCTTCGGTCTGGGAAAAGAGGAAACGACGGAGATGGGTTTAACACGTGGAAGACTTTGGCGACCAAGTATCATCCATAATGCAGGTTTGTTGGGTTAGGTCGCGTAAAAACAGGGTGCTTCAAAAAAAATGTTAACACTTCAGAGAATTCGCAACAGTACCGCGAGAAACGTGCCTCCGGGGCTCTGGAGAGCACTTGGAGAAGATTCCAGGCACGCGTTGACAACGATGGCGAACAAGTGGTGAGACTCTTTGACTTTCTGAAGCTATTAGCACACATTTGCTGTCATGTTATAGTGTATTATTTGCTCTTTTTACATTCAAAACGATAGTCCCATATCAGTGTTAAAACATTTTTGAAGCACCCTGTATATAAAAGTGTCGTTAAACCCGCCACCACCCGACACAATTAGTAAGTGTTTGTCACGTATAACAGAACATGCCAATCCCTTACTAGTGTGGTAGCATGGTTGGGCAATGTATATTTCCCATTCATCCTTACCTGTAGTAGTAGGCATGTGTCAATAGGGGGGTGGTATAGCGAGTGGGTGAGATGAGTTGGCTTGTTGGGCCAATAGGGCTCCCCAGGCCCCAAGAGAGGAGCTGGGGGGATATTCCAGAGCCCCCTAGAGAGTTCCAGAAGGGAGGCGTGGCTAGGGGCGGAGACACCCTGAAACGGGTATAAAAGCCGGACCTCTAGACGGGTCCGGCAGTCATCGTCAAGCTGAAGACTGAAGACCTGCTTCGGCTAGGACCCTGGGACCCCCAGACCCGACGTCCTTCTAAGGGCCGGGACTGAGTGGACCAGTGGTTGGGACCCGAGGACCTTGGCTGGGTCGGGTCGTATAGCCTCCCCTAGGGCCCCTTAGCCGGAGCCCAGTCGATAGGACACACTAGCCTGGAGGCTATACCTCCCTAGGTATCGGGTGGAGGGGCCGCTACCCCTTTGTGTTAGGAATTGTTACCGTTATTATTTGAATAAACGTGTTGCCTCTGCAAGCCGTCTCTGCTCTCCTTGAACGCACTACACTAGTATAGCACACCGGTGTGTTGGAGAGCAAAGCCACAACCAGAGATCGGGTACAGATCCGGCATCAATCACTGGCCTCATTCCACCCGCCCGCTAACCGCCAAAAAATGACAAAGATCCCCCGTGTAGCCTCAACGTTAGCGTGCAGCACCTATGAAGGCCGGCACAGTGGCACACGAGGGGGCGGGCGGCCAGCAATCACGCCCGGCCGCCTTTGTCTCCCCAATGGCGATGTTTACGCACCACACCAGGTACTCATTTGAGGCCGAGTCGACCTAGGGGGAGGCCCATGACCATTTAAGATAATCGTCGCCGGTTTTGGCTGTGAGCGGGAATCGAACTCGGGTCGCCCGGCTTATAGCATAGTGCGCTAACCACTGCGCCACTTTTCCCCACGACCACCACTAGTGACAATGATCTGAACCGGTCCTGGGCCTCCCCTAGGTCGAGTCGGTCTCAAATGGGTACCTGGTGCGGTGTGTAAACATCGCCACTGGGGAGACAAAGTCGGCCAGGCGTAGTTGCTGGACACCCACTCCCCTGTGTGCCATGCCAGCCTTCATAGGTCTAGATACACGGTGGCTCGGAGATGTTAACTACCTCGCCTGGTGTACAGGAGGTCGTGGGTTCGATCCCGACCCTGACGCCTGCTGCTGAATATTTGGAGTTTGCGTCTTTCTCTCTCTCATCATCATCATCACGGTGGCTCGGAGATGTTAACTACCTCGCCTGGTATACAGGAGGTCGTGGGTTCGATCCCGACCCTGACACCTGCTGCTGTATATTTGGAGTTTGCGTGTCTCTCTCCCCGTGGCCGCGTGGATTTTTCTTCGGATCCTCCGGCATTACCCTCCACATTTAGAATCAACATCACGTGTTTAGAGTTATTTGGCTGCTGCTATATATTTCCACACGACGATGATGATGATGATGAGACGCCACTTAGTTGAGCTATTATTCGTGATGGCCAGGTCCCTTCTGAAAAAGAGCTACATAGCTAAGTGGGGCCTTACCTGGTAAAAAATAAAAATCATTGAGTTAACATGCAAATTATTACCTGGCAGCCCTTTCATTGGTGGAAAACCCACCACCGCCACAGTCGCTGACCACCACTTACATGAACATTGGCTTGTGACATTTGGGCGAGGGTCATTTCAAACTTTTATAAACAGTTGTCTTTAGAAAGCTAACCCCCCTTTTCCCGATGACGACCGCTTGTGCTGCGATCAACACGTCGTCGTTTTTAAAATGTTTTTATTCACTTTAAACCTACCTACGTGACTTTACCGCAAGACCTAAAGCGTATGAATTCCTGCAGTCACGAAAGCTTCAAGTCAAGTTTTTAGTGTAGTTTAACTTTGAGTATTTGGCTGCTGTAAATTTCCACACGGCGACAATAAACCACTTCGGTGAAGCTACGTAAAAAGACGCACATAGCAGCTCATGTGACAGTTTACATTCTTAGTTCACTTGCTACCGAACAGCACGTGACCCCAGCAGCCCGTTGAAGGCTACATGGGTGGGCGGGCGGGCGGGCGTGGGGGGGAGGAGAATCGTCGTCTCAAATTTCAATTACCTCGCCTTGCTCAAGGGCACCGCCGGTGGCTCGGTGTCGTTCCGCGCGCTGACAGAGGTGGGCGCCGCGACATGTCGGACTTGGTCAGCGGAAGCCCTGGGAGGGAGCGAGCGAGCGAGCGCGTGCAGGAAGGAAAAACAAGCGAGAGACGGTTCAAAGTATGGTCGTGGTGGCAGCGGTGGGGAGTGGTGGCAGGGCTTTCGAGACCGGCGTTGTCCACGCACCGCAGCCGGGTACTCATTTGAGGCCGAGTCCACCTAGGGGTACACCCATGAGCGCTACAGGTGACCGCTATATATTCCCGCTCACGGTGGCCGTGAGCGGGAATATATAGCGGCGGGGCTTTCGCAACCAATGTTGTCCATAATACAGTGGGAGGGGGTTGATTTAGGGGTTATATTGCGTAAATATCAACGTTTTGTCATTAAAGCGGCCACTACCACCACCCGAACACAGCCAAATCATGAAAAAAAATCACAATCGGTGCTTTACCATTTCTGGCAATGAAATCAGGAGTTGCGTTACGATGTTTAGACACCAAAAATAAACCTTTGGCAAGGAATCAAGCGCTGCATTAACCACACACCGTACTTGTGGTGAACATGCAAACAAACATGGCTCGGATAATACATGGGCGTTGTCTGTGAAACTGATTGGCCTACACCGGAGACAGCAGCCTTCTTGAGCGCCTAAGTCTCACCACCAGTGTCAGGCCAGAGAACGGCGAAAAGGCGAACAGCACAAGGACAATGCACGCGTATTATTGCATGTGTCGTGACGCAGGACGTCACTACTGTGTCGGCCCGTACGAGGGCTGGGGGCCCCAAGGGGGTGGCTGGGGGGGGGGGGTCACGTGGTGGAGGACCCGGACCTTCCCAGAGGTGGGGGGGGGGGGAAGGGAGGCGTGGCCTGGGCGGAGCGGTGATCAGCGTGGTGTGAACGCGGTGCGAGGCTGTTCAACCCCGAAGTGAAGACGACATGGTCGGTCCTCAAGTCTCCGGGTCGTCGTCGGGGACCAGGCAGCCCGTTTGCCTGCCTGGGTCATGCTGTGCAGTGTTCCAGAGTGTTAGTGATTTGAGGAAGGTGGACACCACCTTATGGACAGTGTTATATTGCTTGCCGTTCTAATAAATAGTGTTGCCTCCAAGCTGTGTGTGTGTGTGCACCTAATTCGAACCCACTACACATGTTTAGCTCGGGGTGAGTAGCTATATCATGGGATCAATTTTTGCCAGTATCAAAGTATGAAAAATATGAATACGGAGTAAATCGTATTGGTTGACAGGTATGTTGTGTCTATGTATCGCTATTGGTCTCTATGTATCTCTATCGGTCTCTATGTATCTCTGTGTCTCCATCTATCTTTATGGGTCTCTATGTATCTCTATCGGTCTCTATGTATCTCTGTGTGTCTCCATCTATCTCTATGGGTCTCTATGTATCTCTTTTGGTCTCTTTGGATCTCTATGGGTCTCTGTCTATATCATACCTGTCAACACCTTATCAGTGCCTTACCTTATTACATACCAATTCAGACCTGATTCTTCACCCCGTGCCCCTTATAAATCTCAACGTTCCTCCGACAAAGTCACAAGGGAGAAACACAAACAACTAGCATTTTAAATTTTGATTTAAAGCTTTCGTGACTGCAGTAATTCATATTCTTAGCTCTTTCGGTAAAGTCACTTTGAAGGGAAACAATAAAATAATAAAATATATACAAGCAATAAAAATTATTGCTTTATATATTGTATTATTTTATTGTTTCCCTTCAACGTGACTTTACCGAAAGAGCTAAGAACTAGAATTTTTTTGTTGTTGCCCGTATTGAAACGTCTCGACGTCATATGGACCTAAAATACGGAGTAAGCCACGTGGGTTGACACGGTATGGTGCATCGAAGAGTGCCCTGTCTAAGCTTTTTGTTATTGTGAGTCACAAAACGTTACCCAATTAAGTTTTACGACTTGAGCACCTACCGAGTGCGTGCTGTCGGTGGAGTAAAACCCTATCGGACTTTTACCATTCCACGGCAAGGTTGCAGTGGCATTCCGCCAAGCGATTGCAGCAGCAGCAGCAGCAACAACAACCAGCTTGGTTTAACACGCAGTAGGCTTTCACAACCAATATCATCCATAATACAGGTTTTCTGGGTTAGATTGTGTGCATACAAATGCGCTGTTAAACCCGCCACCGCCCAGCGCAGCCAGTTTGTCACGTAAACAGAACGTGGCCAATTCGTCACCGGTACAGCACACCGGCGTGCTGGAGGGCCACGCCACGACATTTCCAATCTGAGTAACGACGTTTCGCCAATAATTACAACCAGCTTCATCAGGCGACGGCCAGATTTGTGGCGAAATCAATTTTGGTCGTAAATTGAGTGGCAGCTTATTCCGCGATGCCTGCTCCAATACAGCCCTAGGGGCGCCCCACCCAGTGGCAGCTGTCCCCACGTGGCACGCGAGGTGTGTACGGCAGCACCGAGGCTTGCATGTGGGTTACGGGCTCGGGGCGCCAGAGGGCCACGGACGTGCGCAGTAATGCACAGACTCGCAGAGATTACACGCAGAAGATCGCACAGCTACTCGCGTAGTTACACTGAGATGCATAGACTCACACAGAGACCCACATAGAGACCCATAGACTCACACGGAGACCCATAGACCCACACAGAGACCAACACAGAGATACATAGACCCACACAACGACCCCACATAGAGACCCATAGACGCACGCAGAGACCCACATAGAAAACCCTAGACTCACACGGAGACCCATAGTCCCACACAGAGACCAACACAGAGATACATAGACCCACACAACGACCCACATAGAGATCCATAGACTCACATAGAGATCCATACACGCACACAGAGACCCACATAAAGACCCATAGACTCACACAGAGACGCACATAAAGACCCATAGTCTCACACAGAGACCCACATAGAGACCTGTAGACCCACACAAAGACCCACATAAAGACCCATAGACCCACACAGAGCCGACACAGAGACCCACATAGAGACCCATAGACGCACACAGCGACCCACACAGAGACTCACATAGAGACCCATAGACCCACACAGAGACCCACTTATAACCATCGACCCACACAGAGCCCACACAGAGACCCACATAGAACCATAGACCCACACAGAGCCCACAAAGAGACCCACATAGAGACCCATAGACCCACACAGAGCCCACACAGAGACCCACATAGAGACCCAGATAGAGACCCACACAGAGACCCATAGACCCACACAGAGACCCACACAGAGATCGACATAGAAACCCATAGACCCACACAAAGACTCACACAGAGACTCATAGACCCACACAAAGCCCACACAGAGACCCACATAGAGACCCATAGACGCACACAGAGACCCACACAGAGACCCACATAGAGACTCACATAGAGACCCATAGACCAACACAGAGACCCACACAGAGCCCACACAGAGACCCACATAGAGACCCAAAGATCGACACAGAGACTCACATAGCGACTCATAGACCCACACAGAGGCCCGCATAGAGACCCATAGGCTCACACAGAGATGCGCGACCACACACACGCAGACACAAAGACAGACAGACACACACGCACAGACACACACACAAAGACAGACACACAGACACACACGCACAGACACACCGCGTTTGTTGACAGCTCGTGAAGTTGGAGCTTGGCCCCAAAAACATCTGGGTGTCCACAACCACCGAAACGGTTTCTGACAACATAAAAACAAAACACAAAGACCCCGTATAGCCTGCAACATATTGTTGGGGCAAGTGCTGTTAGCGAGCACCTATGAAGGCCGGCACGGGACACGAGGGGGTGGGTGGGCCAGGACCACGCCCGGCCGCTTTCGTCTCCCCCAGAGACGATGTTTACACACTGCAACAGGTACTCATTTGAGGCCGAGTCGACCTTGGGGAGGCCCAGTACCGGTTCACGTAATCGTCAGCGGTTTTTGGCCGTGAGCGGGAATCGAACTCGGGTGGCCAGAGTTCGCAGCACAGTGCTCGAACCGCTACACTACCGCTCCTAATCGAACCGGTTTCTGGAACCACAGCAATGGCAACCCCTTATCAGTGCCTTTACCTTATTGCAGACCCACTCAGACCTTATTTATTTCCTTGTGCCCCTTATAAATCTCAACATTCAGCGTACAAAGTCCAATGACGAGGAAGAAACACCAACGAACATTATGAGCAAATTTTGCCCGTATTGAAATGACGCCGTATGGACCTCAAAGTTGTATTTCCCTGTACAAGAATACGGGATGATTATAATGATTGGTGGTGGTGGTGTTGTTGACGATGATGTTCGTGTTGATGCGTAAATGGAAAATACAGAGGAGGAGGAGGAGGAAGGGGAGGAAGAGAGGATTCACGGCTCCCGCTCCTGCTCGTCACGCGATCCTCTGCCTCGTCATTATCACCTCTCCGTGTGAGGTCACGCCTGTTTCTCGCCATCAGCGTCAGGCGGGCGCAGAAGAAACGACCAGTAGAGTCACACAGAGACCCGTAGATTCGCTCACACAGAGAACCATAGACTCATTCGCACAGAGACCCGTAGATTCGCTCGCACAGAGACCCGTAGACTCGCTCACACAGAGACCCATAGACTTGCTCGCACAGAGACCAGTAGACTCACTCGCACAGAGACCCGCAGACTCGCTCACACAGAGAACCATAGACTCACTCGCACAGAGAGCCGTAGACTTTCTCGCACAGAGACCCATAGACTTGCTCACACAGAGACCCATAGATTCACTCGCACAGAGACACGTAGACTTGCTCGCACAGAGATCCGTAGACTCACTCACACAGAGACACTTAGAGTCATTCGCATGGAGATCCATAGACTTGCTCACACAGAGACCCGTAGATTCGCTCGCACAGAGACCCGTAGACTCACGCGCACAGAGACCCGTAGACTTGCTCGCACAGAGACCCGTAGACTCACTCGCACAGAGATCTGTAGACTTTCTCGCACAGAGACCCGTAGACTCACTCGTACAGAGATCCGTAGACTCGCTCACACAGAGAACCATAGACTCACTCGCACAGAGAGCCGT